TTCGAATCCAAATTTGGTTGGAGTGCCCTGGTAGATTTGCTGCTGGGAGGATATGTCCCATGGCTGGTGGGCCTAACCAGGGAAGACTCACGGCGCATGTTCCCTTATTTTAAGAACATTTATTTTATATTGCGTGAAACTGGCTATTTGCACATCCAAGCCACCAAACCAGACACAGCAGGTTTGTGAACTTAATCCTTTAAGAAAGATCAAAACTCCCCCCAGTGTTTTCCAGGAAATGTCCACAGCAACACTTTTGCCTGCCCAAACGGAATGACATTCAACTAATATTACTTCTCTATCTTTCATTTCATGAAACTTTCCAGAGTGGAAATCCAGAAGTAGAGATCCATCCTTTCTGGCATATAAGCTCCAGCTACAACATAGTTCCCCCCGCCCCCCAGAAAACATGGTTGTTTTTACCTTCTTGCCACATTGCAACAGTGGCTGATGACTTTTGCCCCATCCATTCTAAACAGCAATAATCACTAACTTTGTTAGAGGGGAACCAGTCAAATCTCTTTATTCAATAATAGTGGATAAAAGAGAAGAAAAGGGGTATTTGGATGATGAACCACAAGGCTGGGTGCAGTATTATTGAGAGCTCAAACTGGAAGTGTAGTTGTGCCTTGTATTTTTCCACTGAGATTATCCTGATAATTTCGTTCAAGGTTTAAAAGAATGAATTTTCCCTTCTTACTTCCAGAATGTACTGATTTTGTTCTTATCCATTTTGAGCTATCCTAAAAGCTATTAATTCTTCTTTTAAAATTGTGTCTATACCTTGTTTTGGGTTCTATAACTGCTTTTAGGCACGGGCATTAGTTGTCTCTTTTTAAGTTTGGCACCTCAGTTCATTTTTGGCTTTTAGTTCAGATCAAAGACTGATTCAGGAATTGCTTAGTCTCCAAGATCATACATCCTGATCTAGCACTAGGTCAGCATCTTGGGTGTACTTTGATGCTTTTCCCAGGACTAAAGTTACCCATTTTTTTTTCCTTAAATTATCTTGTTGCCTCATAAGTAAAATGGTCTATTTATCTTGTTCATTCAAAAAGAAGTGTTAACACCCTCAAAAGTGGTTGAATAAAAACCCTGGCCCTATACATGGTACGAGGTAGGCTTCTTTCTCCCACTTTTGGTGTTTCACACCAAATTTAGTCCTAAATATGATGCCTACCAAGTTGGGTTTTGTGACCAATGGCTGTGATGTTTTTATTACCATTTAGAGACTTTTTACTTCCTGAATTGCATGTGGTTCTGCAGTACTTTAATAATAATTGATCCTCACTTTAATTTCTGCTGTACCTGTTTTATACAACAGTGTTCTTAGGTTCTTGATTAGCTTGAGGCTTTTTATGCATTTTAGATTTATAATCAAAATTATCATTTCCCCAATCTCCATTTTTCAGTATTTCTCTGCTATAATTATTAGAAATAGTATGTTTGTCCACATGTTAGAGCGTAGATATAGCTATCAAGCTGTTTCACTCTGCTGTAATGTATTTGCCTCTGCACATATATGTATTTAAAATAAAAGTATTTAAAAAAAGAAAGATCAAAACCTCACACATAAGCTGAAACAAATCTGAATTTAAGGTACAAAACATTTTTAAGGAAAGCAAGTAGCACTGATTGAAGTAATGAAACAACAAGTTTCAGAGCCACATTGTTCTATGCAACACTCTTGGAAATTTTTATTTTTTTCAAAAGGCCAAAAAATCAAAACACATTCATTTTTATATTTGTAATGGAATTTTAAAGAACTGCTAACAAAAGCAAGCAAAAAGGTACAGTGAATAATTGGCCAGATTAAATACAACTAACTTCCAAATTGCAGATGCAACAATCTTAAAGCATTTTCAATGTTCTCTCATACCCAGGAAGATATGTATTGTGATGCCTCCCATGTCCCATGTGCATCATCTAAACTAAGGGTCTGCAATCAACTTGATTGCTAGAATATGACAACAAATAAATATAATTCAAATTATAACTTAACATTTTACTCTTCTATTACAGTAGAAATTACACATTAATGATGACTATTGGAAGAATTCTGAAATCTGCAACAAATGCTATACTTAGATTGTGTACTCGTGATCTAAACAGAATATGGGTTTTTTTTTTTGCTCAATTGGCTACTATTGACAAACAAGATACACGGGTTGTCTGATTTAACAGGCTTTTCCATCTTGGGAGAAAGGTTCTTCAGAATATTAGATTACCCTTGTTCAACTTCAATGCACTAAGAAATCAGTTGAGCTCTACAAATCTGAAATTGTATTATTTCAGCTGTAGTTAATACATTACAGATTGCACTTAACTCCTCTCTGTGTGTGTGTGTATGTGTATTTTCCTGTTACCTCCATAGACAGCGAAAGTCAAAAACCAACTTCAGATCTATAACTGAATTACACAATATGCTATCCAAATATGTACTTCCATAAAAAAAAGTGAGTGGGTGCAGATGCTTTGGGAGTCAGCATATTTAGCAGCAATTCAATGCTCAATATTTCTAATAGAAGATATTTTTTCAGTCACATTCATTACATACTTACAAGAAGAATTAGGACACTATACTGATGTCGAAGATGAGATAATTTAAATGTTGGCTAAAATCCAGAGCCCTAATTCTCGCTTGCAAATCTCCTTCATGGTAGAGCTTCTACCTCTAAGTAGTACAAGCAAGTAACCAGAAAGTAAATGTGCTCCTTTTCTAACCTAGGATGTGGACTGAATGACTCCCCTGTAGGACTTGCTGCATACATCCTAGAGAAATTTTCCACCTGGACAGATAAATCATTCTGCAGCATGGAAGATGGGGGGCTGGAAAGGTAAGATTCTCTACAACAACTACATATTAGAAGAAAAAGAGAAATTATTGCAAATATATAACTGCTGGCTTAAGATGGTTTGGAGAATATTGCTGAAATATGAACAGTTGCAAGATATACCAGATGACCTGCAAGTGAGTATTTTACTTCTGTGACTTCTCACTTAGCATCAGACAATAGTTGTTGCTCATTCATTTACTCCATGCTCTAACCAGTGAACTAGACTTAAGAATATGCATTAAAGCTTGGATAATAAAAACAGTGTGATGCCCCTTCTCAGGAAATACTCTCTGGATGAACTTCTGACAAATGTCATGATTTATTGGGTGACTTCCTCCATTGTGCCTTCAATGCGTTTTTATAAAGAGAATTTGTCCAAGGATCCAAGTACTCTTCCTGATGCCAGGTAAGAATGGAGTAGAAGAAATTGTTCCCATTGCAAAGGTACTTTATACTAGTTCTTACCTCCAAAGAAAGTCTCTCCTCCCCTGAAATTGTTAGAATATTTTACATTCCATATTTAAAACAAGTGATCTGCTTTTGAAATTAAGTCAGATATAAATCTGAAATTTGATGTTTTTATATGTCAGGGCCATAATCAAAATTCCTCTGCCCACATGAAACCTGTTGTGAATGCCTAGAAAGAGTTTTAACTTTAGGATATTCCAGAGGACAAGGTTAAGTCTTGTTTTTAAAAAAACATTCAAAGGCATACTGTTAATGTAAAATGGGGTAAAAGATTCAGAATTCAACTATATAAAAAAATATAGTTAGATCCTCCAAAACATCTTGGTTCTATACTGACACCAAAAATAGTGTGACTTACTAAGAAAAAATGGCATCTATAGTAATTAATGAACTCTTGGTTAGAAACGTTTTCTTCTACAACAGGCTTGGCGTTTATGTTCCAACTGGCATTGCTGCCTTCCCAAATGAGCTTGCTCATTGCCCACGCTCCTGGGCAAAGAAGAAATTTAAGAACATTGTCACGTACACCTACATGCCCCAGGGAGGGCATTTTGCTGCCTTTGAGGAACCAGAGCTCTTGGCTCAAGACATCAGGCAATTTGTGAAGAAGGTGGAACATCTGAATTAAACTCTGTAACAAAACCTTTTCAGAAAATACTTAACCAAATATTATAAGTTTCCAACCAGCTTACATCACTTACAACAAAATGTTATTAAGTTCTAAACAGCTGGATTTTCTTTTTCTGTAAGCTGATTATTGCAGCCATATAAGGTAAAAAAAAGACATATTCACATTAAAGCAACTGTTTATAGCAAGGTAGGGTTCTTGTTCTGATTTTACTTTACAAACTGAAATAGGAAGTTTTTTAATAGTTCCCTGAAGCAGCACTTTCACAATCAGATATTAAACAGACCATTTTATACAGTTTTCCAAATTGACTAAAGCTCTTGACTAATAACTGGAAAAAAGGCTGAACTTCACTTTTTAGAAATGCTTCTAGATATGGTTATTTTCTCTACAGCATATTATTTTTCTCTCTAAGCAAGGAAGTGTTTGAACACATAATTATGTCTTCAGATTGGTTCATTTACAAGATAGTACACAATGACATAAAAACAATCCTTTATAGTGTAGATACCATAAAACATCTTAAACAGTGTGCTTGTTATTTAAATGCCACAGCCTCAGAGAGTACTTGGCCACTGCTACATCTTCCACAGATCTGTACTCTAGTGTGAAAACATTTGCTCCAAAAATCTTCCTCATAGAAAGGAACACCATTTACCATCTCCAGATACCCGTACATCTTTCTGTGCCTCAGAACAACTGGTTAAGAAATGGATCCATTTTCAGGGTTACTCTATTCTCCCAACCCTTTTCCTTCATCAGGCTCCTTTCAGTATGAGATTAGATATTTGTTATCCTGGAATTAGATTGTACCCTCCCATAATGCTTGTCCAACATTAGTCTGTCCTCTGTCTTCATACAACCTGAATATGTGCAATAACTGATTTTTTTTTCACTTGCCTCATTACTTCTGACAGTGTTGGTAAACACAACAGGAAATAAAAACCAAGTTTTACAATCTTAAAATGAATGTATAGCAACAATTATACACAACTTCCATTTCAGCAACGGGTAACTTTAGAATGTTAAGCTCTATTAATCAAAATCAGAGGTAGGTTAGCATTTCAGAAATTAATATGTTGAAGAAAGCTGGTCAGATCATTCACACATTCTTATAAGCATTTAAATAATTTTAATCACAGCTGTCAATTTAGAAATCATCACTCTGTATTGCAGCTTGAGATAGGAATATATCTAAAAGTGTCAGAATAATGCTTCTGCTGTAGAGAATATCAACTTTAAATAGCCGTTATCCCTCCAGATAGGAGGGCAACTATGCTCCCCTGAACTACAACCAATCCTTAGACAATTTTCACTAAATAAAAAAGCAGCAACTTATGTGGCTTTCACCATATTTCTGAAAAATTACTGGAATTCATCAAATTTGCACAGGGGCATATAGTCCACTGGAAATTCAATATTGTGTCAGGTGTTCCTATACTGGCACAGGTATTTCAAGTATCTTTTTATAGTAAAATCTGGAGGACAGAATACAGGGTAATGGGTTGTATAATGCTTTGGCAGTACACTGAATCAGTTCTCCAGAGGTACTGTCTATCATCACAGATGCATGTGCTTTTTCAGCTCCGCATTGCAGAGCTCAACATTACTTCTGAAAGGAGAAGGAGTTCAAAGAAGGGAAGCTTTTCTTTGCAATGGAACAGATATATGACGACAAAGCAATATTAGCATATCCAATTAAGAACTTTTCATTAAAAATTTATCAAGAAAAATAATTAAAGCCTTTGACTATTACCGGAGCTTGAAACCATATATAATCATCCCAGGCAGAGTTGCTTTCTTGACAGGTAGAAAGGGTTGTACTATTTCCATGACTGCATGATAAATTAACAGTCAGCTTCCTCCCTCGAGTTGGCACTTTGTAGTTTAGTTTGGGTCTGAACCAGTCAATACCACAGTTGCGATGCCCTTGAGCCATAACAATGATACCCATGGTGGGAATAGCCTGTAGGTCACTGAACACATCTGCCATGAAGAGAGAATGGAACAGCTTGCGAACACAGGCTGATGTCTGCAAACTCTCTTCAGTGCCACTTACAGATATACCTTGTAAGTTGATCTCATAGAGTTCTTTGGGGCTGACAGCTGTACCTCCAAGCAAAATAAGAATTCGTGGGACCAATGTCAAATTGAACATGATTTCCAAGTGCTGGAAAACACCATCAAGATCATTCAGCACTTGCTGGCACTTTTTGCTGTCCTGATCTTTTGGATAAACCTTCCTGACCATGTCTTCTTCCTATGAAATCAGGAGATTTAAGAGATGCATGATTTAGGAGCATAAGTAGAATAAGGCAATACTTTAATACACTTTATTTCAAAGCAAAATATTTACATCTATATACTACTAAAATTCTCATTGTGTTTATCTGTTTGTATCCTCAAATTAGCCCAAACGGCATATCATAGCACAACAATTTTTGAATCAAGGTATCTAAAACCCACTAACTTAAAGAATGCATAAATAATCCGGGACCCATTATTCCTGTAGAATTGAAATTTCCAGGATGTTTAGGCCAGTTTTACTCACAAAGTTGTGGCCATTGCAGCGCCCCTGTGGTCACATGATCATGTTTTCCGATGCTCCTGACAGCTTCCCACAAGCAAATTCAATGGGAAAGCCAGCAGGAAGTCAGAAGCCACACCCACTTAAAGCAATAGCAATAGCATTCAAGAAAATTTAACGTACATTCTGGTCACATCAGACTGCACTATTGTCAGGCCCAGCCCAAGAACAACATTGAAAGAGTCCAGTTGAGTTAAGTTCCTTTATTTGTTTACACCATATAGACAGAATCTTGCCAGACTAAATCTATACTACTGCAACTAGTGGACATACCCTGGGAGATTCTAGGGAGTGGCTATCCTGAGCTTCTTATGCTTCCCATGCTCCCCCTGCAGACTGTGTTGTCTTTCGTCTCCTTTCCCTTCCTGGAATGCACTCCCCCTTCCTGATAGCCTTGCTCTCTGTTGCTATCCAGCACATATCCTCCTCTTTGTAGATACATTCCATCACAACTACCTTTCTCTCAAAGGATAACCCAATGGGTCATAGGTTGTCTAGTATTATGTTAAACCCCATCCCAGGATATCATAATAGAAGAAAAGATAGCTGCTGCTATGATAAATGGAAATATACACGCACATCTATCCAACTGTCATCCTGCTCCTATTTAACACCTACATGAGGCTACTGGCCGAGGTCATCCAGCCACACAAGATGATACCCAGTTATACATCTCAGCCCAAGCCAGCAAATGATGCTGTCAAGGTGCTTTCTCAGTGTCTGAAGGTTAGATGGGAAGGAATAAGTTCAGGCCCTGGCAAAACTGAGTGGCTATGTGTTTGGGAACTTTCCAGTGTTGGGGACTTGCTATCTTTGGCTCTGAATGCAGTAGCACTCTGAGCAGACCAAGATGGTAGACAATTTGGGGGTCCTCCTAGACTCTTGGCTCCTGATCAAACACCAGGTGGCAACCATAGTTAGGAAGGCCCTTCTACAGCTCTACCATGTGCAACAATTGCATCCCTGCCTAGAGTAGGAAGCCTTGCTCATTGCCATTCATGTTTAGTTACCTCCCATTTGGATTCTTGCAATGCATCTACATGGAGCTCCTTGAAGACTATTCAGAAGTTGCAGCTGATCCAGAATGCAGCAGTATGAGTAGTTATGGGCATGCCTTGGCTTACCTATGTAACATCTCTACTAGATGAACTGCACTAGCTTCCAATGGACTTCCAGGCACATACTACATGCTGGTTATCACCTGTAAAGCCCTTCAAGGAATGGGGCTGGGATTTCTGTAGGAATGGCTGTCTCCAATATTCTCTGCTCATTCCATAAAATCTGACAAAGTGGTCATGTTCCAGGGCTCCTCTATTAAAAAATGCCATCTAATGGGACCCAGCATGCATGCCTTCCCTATTGCAGCACCTGTCCTATGGAACACCATACTTCTTGAGATTTGGATGGGCCTGTTAGAAGGTTGGGGCATGTAGACATTTTTATATATTAAGACATTTAGATGTTTA